CGCCCCCGGAACGTCGCGCCCTCTGTCATTCGCTCCGCCCCAAATGTTTCATTGGTCTGCAACCATTCGGTCCCGCCCCCTACCCGCCCGCCCTCCTTCCGTGGCTTTTTGGTCCCGCCCCCCGAGCGCGCTCCCGCCGTAGGCTCCGCCCCCGAGCCGCCATTGGCAAGCTAAGCATGACCCCGCCCACTCGAGGTCTGCCCCTGCTGAGGGGCGTGCGGCTGCGAGGGTCCCTCCGGCCCGGGTGCTGGCTTTGGGTCCCGCTATTCGCAAATGCAGGTGAGGCCAGCACGCTGCATGCACGAGAAGCGCTCCCTCCGTGGTTCGACCACTGCGCGCTCACTGAACTTTGGCGGGGCGGCCTGAATATTTGGGCCAGCCTCCCCCGCACGCGGCGCCGGACACTACCAGGCTTTTCACGCGCGAGGCACGGACTATGGAGTCAAAGCTACCTTGGATACTTCGGGCTGTGTGACCTGCGGCTAGCCACATAACTTCTCTGTGTGCCTTGCCCTGATCTGTCAAAGGGGATATAAAGGAAGCGCAGTGACTATAAACGACTCGGGACATCCAAGTATGTCCCGGTAGGAGTGTGGACGGGGATTGTCAGGTATATTCAGTCCCCACCTGGCCTTCCCTAAAGAAAATGTTCCTTCTTTTGCCAAGACTGAAGAGAATGACCTATCCTGGTGTCCTCAGGCAACTGGACGAAGTGTGGACTTTGATTTGCACGTTTCCTAATGGGGCTTCTTTGTGCTTATTAAAGTGAAGATGGGAACCCGAGATCAGAGATGACTGGACACCTAGTAGGAGCTTGGCCAGGACATGCCTCTCTCTCTGCGCTCGGGATACAGCAGTGCATAGTCTGGGGAACTTAATTTTGGACCTTATGCATTCTGAGAAAAATTTTTGACACCCAGGCTCTGCTGCTTGCCATGCTCACTGTCTCAGAGCTCTGGGCAGGGAGGCCCCTGCTGAGAGGCTGGTCTGGGTGCTTACAGGCAGTGCTGGAGGCTGGCTTCCTAGGAGCAGGTCAGGCTGCCTGCACTGGCCTCCAGTGATAAGGTGCAGGCCCTCACTCAGCCCCCTGTAAAGCCAGACACAAACCTGAGAGGTGGAACAGGAGACCTTTGCAAAGCTGCACTTCCCAATATCCTCCATCCCACAGATTCTGGTTCCGTTGTTAGCAGTGAATCACACAGGCACAGACCCCCTTACTTTGCCCTTGACCTTCCATGTCCCCAGCACCAGGATGTCAGGCCTACAGGGACCCCATGGAATCCATGAGCCCCTAGTCATCTTTTCCCAAGCCTTATTAAATTGTACATTTTCCTTTAACAGCTGGAAAGTCAGACCCACAACACATTAAATGATACCTTGAATGTACTTGGTTGAACAATGTTCTCAAAAAAGTATCCAAGTCTTAATTCCTGGTGCTTGTGCCTGCCACCTCACTTAGAAATAGAGTCATTGTAGATGTGATCAAGTTAAGAGGAGGTGAAACTGATTGATGCAGAAATATAAAGACTCAGGAGAGAGTCTCAGGGAAGAAACGGGAGTCAGGATACTGAATTATCTGTAAACCAAAGAACAACAAGGGTTGCTGAAGCTGCCAAGAGCAAGGGGAAAAACCTGTGGCAGATTCTCTCTTAGGGCCTCAGGAGGGGCCAAGCCTGCTGACACCTAGATTGCAGACTCCTGGTCTCCAGAACTGAGAGAGAATGAATGCTAATTAAATGGCACAGTGTGTGGTATTTTGTTACAGCAACCACATGAATCTCATACAATGGCTGTTCAGAGCATCTGATTGGCAGGTTCTGTTAGATTGGTATGAAATAGCAAAGGATCTCATCACTGATTAATACTTGCAAGGTGTTTTGATTAGTGAAACCATTTCCTCTGGGGCTTCAGGTAGAGGTAGAATGATAAAGGGAGCCCAGGGTGGAGAAGAAGGAGATCCACAACGTAGATTTCTGGAAAAGCACCACCAGAGTCCCTGCTTTGGAGCCTGAGCCCCCAAACCTCCTGCTACTGCCTCTGCTGTTCAGAATGAAAATACCTTGGAAACTATGGGGCCTTGGGAGTCTGATACAGACTGTGGGATCTCAAGGAAGCATCTTTAACCCTGTCCCTGATCTGCAAAATGGGGTCCCTGGGGCTTGGTTCACAGGCAGGTGAGCATTTAAGGAGAGAGTGTCAGGTATCAAGGCACAAGGAAGATCCACCCGCGACCCGTTCCTCCTCTCACCTGGTGACTCTGGCTTGCGGCTGCACTTCAGCCCCATTCTACAGATGGAACAACTAGGACCCAGCATCCACCATTGTCAGGAAGGCTTGAGGACCATCACCCAGTCAGGGAGCCAGGATTCAGTCTCATGCTGTTGGCTGCAGACCAGGTGACCTGAAACAGGGCCAGTGACCCTTGAAGTGAGAGAAGACTTGGCCTGCATGCTGGACTCTGACCAGGATGCCAGGGGGACACACATTTGATGACTCAGCAGTTGGGGGAACAGGAGGAAATTGCCAGTCCTCCAGCTGAGGAAGCAGCCTGGGGTAGTGATAAAAAGATCCCCTTGTTTTCATGGGAATCCAGAGCCCAGAATCCCAAGGGCTCAGCATGACTGGGCTCAGAGTCAGGACCACCAGCATGGTCAGGCCCAGGAGCAGCATGGGGAGCCCTGGACCACCCGCTGAGCAGCCCTAGGCCAAGCACCCCCTCATGAGTGTCCACACCACCTATCTCCTCTAGTCCTCCATCCAGGTTCCCATATCACAGAAGGGTAATGAATAAGTTTTCAAGACTCAGAAATGCAGAAATATGCCTGTAATCCACACATTCAAATGGCAGATGGGACTCAGTTTTCTTTATTTGAAATGGGACCTCCTGGGGGGAGTAGTGGAGGCTGCTGTGGCTCTGTGGCACCTGCCTGGCTCCCAGCACTGTCTCTGTCAGCACTGTCCTTGTTCTCACCCAGCCCTTTGCTCCAGACCTCGCTCTGTGCTTTTAAATTAATGACCCTACACGGCAGGCACAGGTGCCTAGCCTTACCCTCAGTCTTTCCATGGTAAAAATTGGAAGTCATGCTCAGCTCAGAGGAATGTGAGAATTAAGTACACTAAGAACCATAAAGCACACTATCACACTGGCCCAATGTGGGAACAACTCAAGTGTCCATCAGCTGATGACTGTGTCAAGAATGGCACTCAAGTCATGCTCACACAGTGGAGTGAGATTTGATCATAAAGAGGACAGGACACTGCTACGTCATGATGAACCTCAGAAACACCATGCTGAGAGAAAAATCAGATGCCAAAGGACACACATAAATGGACGCATGAGTCCATTTATGTGAAATGTCCAGAGCAGGTACATCCACAGATTAGTGAATGCCAGAGGAGGGAGAGGGGGACTGACTGCCAGTGGGTTTGGGGTTCTTTTCCACATGATGAAAGTTTTGGAAAAGTGATGGCAGCAGTGCATTGTGAATGTACTTCATGCCACTGAATTGTAAACTTAAACGTGGTTACAATGGTTGGGTTTACCATGAAAAACAAAAATATATTCACCTGTGACAGGCCTCCTTTCTCTCTCATTCCTTCCTGTCCTCCTTCCTCCCCATGGAGTTTGTGGTGGGGGACAGGGATGGGAAAGTCTACAAAGAAAACCCTCAGAGCTCTGAGCTTCTAAGAAGCATGTGACATGGGGATGGGGTGTGGTATCCAGAATCCATCTCGAGGGCCAAGAAAGTGACTGGGTTAGGCTCCTGAATGGTTTTCCCAAGTTCTGTGGGCTCTGGGAGCTAGGCCAAGTGGGGGCCCTGCTGAGGCAGGAACAAGGACATTGAAATCTCAACCTTGTCCAAAGAGGTTTGCATTTGCCATAGGCATAGAGCTCATGAGGACTGCAGAGAAAAGAATGCCTGGTTTCCCTGGCACCCGCTGAGATGTGGCAGGGAGACACCTGGCTGCAGAGCCAGCGCAATGCCCAGCTCACCACAGACACCTGGCTCATGGCTCTTGGCCACAGGGAAAGCCACAGGAGTGTTGCTTTCAAGCTAGAGTAGGCCCTGAGGCTGGGAGAGACGCCAGCCAGCGTGGTCTCTGAGATGGCCGTGAGAGCAAATCCAGCACAGGCCCAGCCAGAATGGCACAGTAAACACTTATCTGGGAGTCACATAGCCAGCAGCCTCTACCACCAGTGAGCCAGGAAACATTAGGCATAGTCTTTGAGCTGCGAAAGATTTGGTCCTCATTCTCAGCAGTGCAGTATAGTCATTGCCCCTTACTCTTACATGACGCATAAGGCTGACAGGTCTCGGAGCCCAAGTCCTGTGCATATCAAGAACAGCACCCTGAGGGAGATAGCTACTGGACTATGAAGGGAGACTGTTTCCTGAATGAAAGGGATGCAGAGAATATTTAAGTCTGGACTGATTCCATCATGGATTGCTTTTGGCTGGACTGGGTAGCCGCTAGGCTGCCTCAGCTGACTTGGTTGGAGTATCTTTCCCTGGAATGACTAACTCATCAACTCTTTTTCCTGAAGTGATTCAGGGAGTCACCGTTTATCCCTGACTGAAGGGTCATTGGCTACTTATGCTGGACTGAATGGTCATTGGCCAATTTTGCCGGGACTGAGCCTGTCAAGGATTATTTTGCTCTAGGCTGCTTCATTTATGAACCTTCTCCCATGGGTGACTAGGTCAGAGTATTTGCCTGGAATGACTTACTCATCAATTATTTTTCCCTGTACTGACTAGCTTATCAACTATCATTTCCTAGCT